ATGTCATTTGGAGGTGGATTGGAGATACCCTTAAAGAACTAAGATTTCAAAATAAAAAGAGTGTACTCATCGGTGAATTGATTTAAAGGGTATGTGGGATTCAGGATTGTTAATTAAATCAAATGTATCGAATAGTATAAATAAGAAATTTTAGAAATCTTTCAATTATGTTCAAATTTTCACAAATATGGATTTTCTTTTTTACTTCTCAAATTAGGCTTAACCAGCAGGAAACACCTATTTTGACAATCTTTGTTTATTTTATTTAATTTATAATTATCATTTTATAATTTAATAATTTAACTCATTTTTATATCATAGATTTTAATATATAAAGTTTGGTATATCGGAATATGTTGTTAAGACCATTTAATTTTTATCAATCTTCTATTACAATCTAACATAAACAAACGACATATTCAAAATTTCTTGTTGTATCCCTTCTGACCAAGGGCCTGTTTTGGTAAGTCATCATTCACTATGGGCTCAAATTTATGGACCATTATATTATTTTCTAATTTCTATATATGGTTCACAACAAGAAATAAGTCATTTAATGACGACAGCTTTAGCGACGACGACTGACTTTAGCGGCGACATTAGAAAATGTCGTCGCTAAAAGATGTTGTCGTCGCTAAAGGGATTCCACTGGCGATCATCTTGTGCCACACGCCATTTAATCATGACCGTAGGCTGCTATAGTGATTCATCGGTTAGGGTTTCATCTGGTGGGAAGTAATAGCGGCGACACCAATTGCGACGACATGTTGCCGCTATTGATAGCAATCCACGTGAATGTCATCGTGACCCTTCAATTGTTTTTAGATCGGACGGCTACTAGGCACCAAAGAATGGCGCATGTTCTTCCCTCCAGCTTGTAGCCGCAATTGGTCGGGCGTCGCCGCTAAAGGGGTCGCCACTAAAGGGATCGTCCTTTTGACTACCCCTTCGTCCCAGACGACTCACTTTTCTGCCTACCACTCCCTCTCGCAAACTTCGGCGACCATCGTATTCTGTTGCGTTTTTCCGTCAATTTCCGGCGTACTTCACCAACACAAACCACCACTCCTTCTAGGCTTTCATTTTCCGTCAATTTCCAGCAATTTCCGGCCATTTCCGGCGAATTCTGAGTTCTCCGGCGAGATTAAAACTCCGGTAAGGTGTGTTTTGCTCTTCCCTTTTATCTTTCTCTTGTTTTCTGACCTATATTTAAACATTATTTCATTTTTTTGTGATTTTAAGTAAACTCTGGTGGTGGCACCACCGTTCTCACAATTTTCCGGCGGCTAGAAGAATTTTCCGGCGACATTCCCTTTTCCGGCAACAGCAGGTTCTACTTCTTTATTATTATTATTATTATTATTTCTATTGATAATATATGTGAAATGTATATATTTTGGTATGTGAAATGTGTATATTTTGGTATGTGAAATCTAGATGAAATATATGAATGTATATGTAAAGTGTATATGCAAATATGTATGTGTGAATATGTATGAAAAAAAAATGTGTATGTATGAAAAAATGTATATGTATGTGTATTTATGAAAAAATGTATATGAAAAATGTGTGTATAAATGTATTTCTATGTGAAATATATGTGTATGTGAAAAAATATATGTATATGAAATGTAGGCATTTTTATGTGAAAAAATGTATGTGAAAATATATGTGAATAAATAGGTATTTATATGAAATGTATGAAAAATATATGTGAAAATATAGGTATTTGAAAATATAGGCATTTTTATATGAAATGTATGAAAAATGTATGTGAAAATATAGGTATTTATATAGGGTTGTCACGGGCTAACTTTAGACTTATGAAATATTTATTATTATTAGCTTGTATATTAATATTAATTATGGGTAACAATTTTGAAGATGTTATCTTCAATAAACAAATATAAACTTGTTTTTTTTTAATGAAAACTTTATTTAAAATCATCAAATAAATTATATTTTTAAATATTTAATAACATATAACGTTATAGTATCCATAAAGAAATAGTAATAGCTTACTATTTTAAATAAAACAAAATAAAAATAAAATAAAAGACATATGTAATAACTAAGAGACACTAAAAATGAAAAATGTTATATCTTAAAAATATGCAATTGGTTGATTTGATGACGTGGGTTCTTAAAAGTACCTCGAAAATCTACTAAAGTGACGGTGCTAAATATGAAAAAAAAATGATATATATAACAAATATATAATATCGTTTAAAGTACAATATTATAAGAAAAAATAAAAATGAAAAATTAAGACGCTAAATCTACTAAGTTATAATTACTCAAAATAGAAAAATAAAAACAAAAATAAGTTGGGATTAAAGATCAAAATATGGAAAAAAAGATGATATAAATAACAAATATATAATATTCGACATAAATACTAACATGCCGATTGGGGAGGTGTATGAATGTTTCATTCGGGAGGTTGGGAGTTATATGTGGCGGGACATCGGTTTTCATAAAGACACATAGAATGATGTTTCTGAAGCCGAAAGGGTTGGCATGTTCCAATATCTTTCGGTAAATTATTTATAAAGTTATATATTTAATATTGTTTAATTTGATTTATTTTTAATTTCTCAATTTTTTTTGTAAAGATGGTTTGATTTTGGAGCGATTACAATTCATCCCATGGCTCCAACTTATTGGGCGTCACTGAACAATCGGATATGTGCACGATATAGAGGCCGCAAAAATATTGCATAAAACCGTTTGACTGATTTTGCAGGGAATGTGGAGGCAGCAAGGGCTCATGCCCCTACGGGTATGGATCAGCAGCGTTGGAATGCTGCTATTGACCATTTCTTAACAGAAAAACATCAAAAACGATCCGCTCGAAACAAAGAATGCCGGAAGAAGTAAGTAGTGAAGAATCGTGGAGGGACGTGCAGCTACGGTAGTGCTTGTTTCAAGAAAGTAAGTTACAATAATGCTTATTCAGTTATAACATATTTTGTAATGTTAAACAGAATTTGAATAGACTTGAAGTATTTCATCGTGCGCATGTGAATAAAAAAGGAGAATTTGTTGATCCTTTGGTTGAAGAGCAATATGTAAGTTATTATTACTTAAAAATGAAGTAGATTGCTGGGTTTTTTTTGTGTTAGTTTTAACGTATATTAACAATCTTTGTGAAATACAGAATGCCTTAGTTGCTGAGGTTGCTTTATAGACTCATGACTCATCACATAGCCGACTCTGGTGGTGATCCAGACACCATTGATTGGATCGCAATATTTGAGAAGGTGTTGGGTACACGAAGGGGGCATGTGAGAGGCATTGGGCCTAAACCTTCTTCAGCTGCGGGTACAAGTGCTCCATCTCAATGGCAGTCACAGTCACAAGCACCGCAACCAACACAGGTACTTGTTAAATTCTTAAAGAGTTTGGTAGCTTTGTTATATTGTTAAGAACTTGACGTATTTGTAGTATTTTTTTGTAGCTAGGTAGTTTGTTAAATTGTTAAAGACTTAATTGATTTGGTCGTTTAATAGTTTGTTAAATTGTTAAATCTTAATTCAATTGGTGCTTTGATGGTTTGATAGTTTGTTGAATTGTTAATGACTTAATGTGCTTGTGACTTAATTGTAGGATGTTGATGTGAATGCTTTTCTTCAAAACCCGACATTTGTGACGGCCATTGGAGACATTATCCGCTCCTTTAAAAACCAAGTCAACAACGAGGAAAACAATTATTATTATTATTATTGTTTTTGTTATTATTATTAATATTATTACATTTTTTCGAGCGTTTTATATATTGAAAACCGTATTATTATTAAAAAAACATATAAATCGCATAAAAATGTATTTTAACATATATATTAGGTATATATGTATTTATTTTTTATAAAAACATATCGATGCAGTTTATCTGTATGAGAAACTTTTTTATACATCTAAATATGTATAACATCGTTATTTAGATGTGAAAAATATTATTTATATGTATAAAAACATTTTTATACATATATAAACATATAGAGATATTTTTGAATGTATTTATACGTATAAAAATATTTTTTTATACATATAAAATGTATAGACATTTTAAACATATTTTATATGGTATTTTTATATATTATACATATAAATACCTATATATAGGGTATTTATATTTAAAAAAGTAATTATACATTCTAATATAGATATTTATATTGAAAATAATAAATGCATGTATTTAACTACCTATGATACAAAAAAATATATGAATTTATATTGAAAATACGAAAAAAAATACGTGATAATTTAAAAAAATACCTATTTATTTTGAAAATACGAAAAAAAAATATTTATAGTGTAAATTCAAAAAAATACCTATTTATATTGAAAATAATAAATAAATAATAATAATCAAAATGAAAAGCAATTTAACTTGTTTCCGTGATATACATTATATTTATATCTTCAGGTAATAAGTCACGAAGACCAATGTAGCTCAGTGGTAAACCTTTGCATTTGTGAGTTTGAAGTGGCAGGTTCGAACCCTGCTCACCTTATTTCCTTTTTTTTAAAGAATTTTTGTGAAGCCTTTTATATAAAAACACAGTCAGCAAATGCGTGGCTGACACGTCAGCAAAAGTATCCCAATCAGCGCATACGTGGCTGCCACATTTACAAATGACCGGTTTAATATGTTAAAGGGGCAAAACTGAAAAAAAAAATTGGAAGTTTGCGGCAAAGACGAACATAAATTTCAACTTTGGGCAAAACCGAAAAAAACTTGAAAACTTAAGGGTTTTTATGACATTAACCCTATATATAAAACTTTATGAAGGTTTGATGATGCATGTATTAAAAAGATTACAACGGAAGACCTGAAAACAACCAAGAGAGCAACTTGAGCATGTTAATAGTTCACTTTCTACACAATGAGATGACTATATTATAGTATCTTGTTTTCTTCTTAGCAAGCTGTAGTGCAACATATTTTTTAAACTTATCGAATAAGATGTCTATTATGGAATTTCCAAAATGAGACGTCAACAATGGTTCCATAACAGCTCTAAGAGCTTTTGCTGCGTTTTCCCCGTGGATATGGCTAGACGCATCAAAATCTTTCGTACTTGTATAATCTGTATCATGTGGATCCCAGTTGACTTGAAAAACATTTAACATATTAAGAGAAAATGATCCCTCATTTTAAATAACGTTCCTAACTTCATCTTCACATGGATTATAGTATGGCATATTGAATGAGTTAAAGGCCGATTCTTGGATAAGTCCATGAATTAAGCAAATACTAATCATTAATCGCCAAAACAAATCTGAAACTTTCTATAATTCAAAACCTTATAATACCTCTTTGAGCATGTCGTAAAGTGACTGGGCTAGTAACTCCCAGATAATGCAACAGTCATCACTGGTTGGATCAGAAATACTTCGGCCAACGATTGTTAACACCATGCATCCACCTTGTACTAATTCCTCAGAACGCATTTGTAAAAACTTTCGAAAATCTATATCAAATTGCTTCTGATATGCTTCTAACACATTCGGTGGACTTGATTTGGACATGTATATATTATATATGTTGTTTTCAACGCCTTCAGGTACCTATAACATGTTCCAGGGACTATATATAATATAGTTTGCGAAAGAGCATGTATCAAATATATGTAGAAGTTTGAGATTACCTAAAGATATACCTTGATTGGTTAGTTGGTTTGGAGTCCGGTATATAGACACATGTACCCAAACATATTTAATTCTTGGAACTTGTTTTCTTCAATTATAAAGTGATATATATCTTGATTTGAAATGGTACAATAAGATTTATAAATACACCAACTTGAGTTTTTGCTTAGTAAATGCGCTCATGAAACTTGAATCTCACTCAAATAAGCTTGAATACTACTTATATGGTATTTAGGTGGTGTTTGATTGATTGTCTAAATATTTTTAATATATAAGGAGATTTACTTTTATAAATGTGAAAATCGTTAGAACTAGAAAGGTGGATATAATGCAAATTACCTGAGAAAGCCAATGAAGAGCGTAAAACGAGTGAAAAAGGTGCAAACTTTTGTTCGGAAAGAGTCTACTGTAAAATGAACCAGGAGTAGCTGAAACAAAACAATGGCCAAAATGTTCTCGCTTCTTCTTCTTCTTCTTCTTAAGGTTTGAATAAAATTCAGGTAGCATTTTGAACATGGTATTGAAATCATTTCCAAACAGGTCATTTAAGCACACTTCAAACTGCGGTGATTTATGCTTAGTTTCTTCACAAAGGTCGTGGACCATATCCATAATGGTAGATGCAACCAATAGTGAATTCATGCTAGAGGAGCATCGCAAATCAGCTATCTTGAAACACTGAGTACTGAAGATTACGCTATTATTAGCCATAAACTTGATTGTATGCTTTAAAATCGGAAGTGTTTTCCACATGGCTGTTTCCTGGAATAAAAATATGAGCTCAACAACTCTCCGATTCAAGTTTAACTATACATATATAGGACATATTCAGATATACTTTTAGCATGCAATAATATCAAAGAGTAAGAGAGACCTGAAGAAACGAGTTGCATGCATAGCTTGATTCCCCATCGCCAATATTCATGTGTAGGATGCTTTGTACTTCCATGGCTATCTTTTCTTTGTCTTTAGCCTTCATTTTATTTGTTTAAATAAGTGAACAAGACGTCTTAATCACTTTCTTCATGGCCTTCATTTTGTTGTTTTTAGATAGGCGTATCGGAAAATTCGCAAGTCAATAAGTACAACTTAAGTAAGCACCCTTTCCATGGTCTTCAAATTATTATTTCAAATCGGCCATTGGCATGTAAACAAAACATTTCAAACTTCACAGCTTTTTTTCCTCTGTTTGCAATAATATCTTATGGATGGATCTAGATTTTAAAAGATAATATATTAAAATCTATCATCACTTCACATTGATTATGATTATTTTATTATATCTATATTCTATATTTCCAAGATATCTTTAGGGACAGAGTAAATTACGGTTTTGGCCCTTGTGCTTTATACCTAGCTACAATTTTAGTTCAAACTTTTAATTTTTAATATGGCTTGTTCGTATGATTTTAAAAAGTTGCACTCGTGGCCTTTGAGACTTTTACCAACTTAATTACCATTTATGAGCTCTGCTTACTGCTGTAAATTTACAATATGATCCTCGAATTTTTTAATTTCTTATTTACTCTTTTTTTATTAATTTAAATTAGTTATAAAATAAAAAAAAGCCTTAGCTAGAATCATTTGAGAATTATAAGTATTCTAACAATGTAAAAATCATTGTACATTGTCAGATTGAAAGAATTAATGATCATAAACTAGTCAATACCTTCGGATTGAAAGAATCAAAATTTTTTACTATTCTCATTACAACCTAAAGTTTTCCAAATCCAACCCTCCATATTTGTTCTTTAATTCTCCCAATATATACTTATCGTTCTTATATGATCATAATTAATTAATTATATAATTAGACGTGTGTGACATTCCTAAATTTCTCGGCCAGAAAATATCGATTTAGTTTATGTTTTTAAAATAAAATCAGAATAATCTTTTAAAAGATGTTGCGGAATTTGTTCCCAAAACAAAACATGATAAAAAAATTTATCAAAACATTTCCTAAAGAAATATATATTATCATTATATATCAAAACCTCGGGATGTCATTTTCCGATAGACCAAAAGCATAAACAGTACATTATAAGTCTTACAACAGATATTTACATTTATTGGCCTATAATCCAAAAATCTCACGTCATCATTCAACTATGCTCTGAGTCCACTACCTGTAATATAAAAAGCTGAGTGAGTCAGGCTTAGGAGCCTGGTGAGCATATAAGGTTTTCAACCCACAAATAATAATAAATTTATTAAATTCATCAACCAAAAATAAATTTATTAATTTCATCAACCAACAATAACCCTGATTACCCATTTCCGTTATCCTCACTTCACGTCCCTAAACACCTATCATAAGGGACCTAGTCTAAGGATTTTCATCGGGGTGACAACACTGCTTTAAGGATTCCTCAGCAATTTATGTCAAATAAGGCAACCATGAGGGGGATGGAGTACACCAATGAACATATAGTTCACCAACACCTACAGGTTGCGAACCTGCTAGCGTTCCACTAGACTGTCTAGAAAGGTATGTGGTCGTCATCTATACTCCGCTAGATGACTACAACACAACAACAACAACATCGAGGCCTCTCATCATTTTAACACACATCAACTATTTCATCTACCCATGTTTTACCCAACATATTTGTAGATAAAAATAAATATACAGTTTAAAACATGTATAAAAAATCTATTCAACACCCATCTCAAATAAACAAATAATATAATTACACTGTGACATCCCCATTTTCACGGCCAGAAAAGACCGATTTTGTTTATGCTTTATAAAAATCAGAGTACCTCTTTTTAATAAAAATGTTGCGGAATTTGTTTCCAGAAAAACATGATAAATACGTTATCAAAGCATTTCCGAATAAATGTAATTTAATCCATTTTAAAACATTTCGAATGTCTTCGTCAATACAGAAACATAAGCATAAACAGAACTTACATTCATTTACACTAGTGATCTACATCTCTTTTAAATCTCTCAGTGCAATGTAACTTCATATAGACACCTGTGATACAAATAAACTGAGTGGGTCAGGTTGGGAAACCTGGTGAGTACATAGGGTTTTCAACCCACAATAATATAATTATTATGTTTAAACATCAAACAATCAACCCAATTACTCATCCCCATTATCTTCTTTACTCTCAAGGATCTACCCTAAGAATCGACTATTCCTCGTTAATTCATTCCTAAGGATCATCCTAAGGAAACGACACGAAATCCATCGTTGCCACAGTTGTCAAGCACAGCTGCTAATATTATCACTTAGGTGCAGTTGCCAGAATTGTGACATTCTCTATGAGGCGCTTCTGCCGGTATTGTCCTTTAAACGCTACTGTCACGGTTATAATGTCCTCTATTAGGCGCAGCTGCCGATACTATCCTTAGAGCGCAGCTGCTAGGATATTTAGAGTACCTCATAGATCCAAAAACATCTACATGGTTATGGCGCATCTGCCAATGCTCATCTATAGGGTACTAGGTCCATTGCTGCCAATGTCCACCTATATGGCACTATGTCCACACTACCAATGTTCCTCTATATCATCTTTCGTCCCTCATCATTCATCTACCCATGTTATACCCAACATATTTGTAGATATAAAATACATATACATTTTAAATCATTTAAAACATGTATAAAAATCTTTCACCCAGCATAGGCAACAAGTATTCAAACAATATGCACACATAGCACGTAATTTAAATACAATACTTCATATCTATATGTAAGGTGAAAGTAACTATGCACTCACCTGATAAGGTGGTGACTCGGTACTCGGACAACGCTTCGTTTACTTAAAACAGCTTCGTTCGACAAAACCTAGTATCATTGCCATTAGGGTTTAGTTTAATATTCACCGAGACTAATTAATAGTCTAGCTATTATTACTATTATATAAGCGTTAAACAACACTCTTATATAACTCATAATAATATCCCAAATAATTATTTTAAGGTCCTAATAACATTACTATATTGAATCATAAGCTATACTAAAGATAGGTTAAGCGTAGCTCACTTACAGCGGGTTTTCTCGAAAACCGGGCTTCGCCGGAGCCGAAAGGCTCTTTTCTCGGGACTCCGAGAGCCTCGAGGCTTCCTTCGGGTGCTAGGGTGGTTCCCTAGGCTTTTTTGGGGGTTTAGGGGCTAGAGAGAGGTTCTAGAGAGAGAGAGAGAAGAGGTTGGAATGGTGTGAAGAATTAGGGAACCCGGCACCTCTATTTATAGGCTGGAAAACAGCTCTACTCGTCGAGTAGGTCCTCCTACTCGTCGAGTCCATGCCACATGTCACCTTCTGGTGGCTTGCCTTGGGGAGAAAGCCTTATCCCATAATCAGTCACGTCACCCGATTTCGCACAGCACCCTGCCGACTTCTAAACCCCGTAACTTTCGCATACGAGCTCCGTTTTCGACGTTCTTTATATCCACGCGTAGGTAAAAACAAGATCTACAACTTTCATTTTGACTCTATCGGCTAATTCTCAACCGATCTTACATTTAACAGTAGGAGGAGATTAGATTGTTAAATGACCGCGAAGAATTCGTAACTCCTTCATACGGACTCCGTTTTCATCTGTCTTTTTACCGTTGAGTTCCTATTAATGAGATCTTCAACTCTCATTTAGGTCGCGTAGGCCAAAAACCGGTCGAACTAAAATTCGAGTTTCGGGTTGTGCACTGCTAAGCCAAATCTTAGAAAAAATCATAACTTCCTCATACGAAGTCAGATTTGGGCGTTCTTTTTATGGATGTTATAGGTTTAACATATACTACAACTTTGGTTTAGATTACTAAGGCCAAAAAGTCTTCTATCATAAATTCACTATTTACGCTTCCCGGTGCCGTGCCGGTTTTGCCGTAAAACTTCGACGGGCCATAACTTCTTCGTTATAACTCGGATTTCGGCGTTCTTTATATGTACGGAACCCTTGTAACATATACTACCACTTGGAAAATATTAATCCTTCTAAATAATCTTCCATCAAAAACTCATTTTTGATGCTTATTGTCTCTAAATTAGTAGTCCGGATCTGCGGGCGTTACATACACATAGCACGTATTTTATTGAAAATACTTCATATCTATGTGTAAGATGAAAGTGACTACACACTGACTTGATTTAAAGATAATCGGACAGGACTTCGTTTCTTAAAACGACCGTTTCCGATGAAACCGAGAGCTTTAATGAAAACCGGGCCTTGCGAGGGTTGAGCTTCAAACCGAAAAGATAAATTTCTCGGGGTCTTCGGACACTTCGGGACGTTCTTCGGGTGTTGGATATGATACCGGGGCTTCAGGGGGTTGTAAGGAAGTTTAGGGAGGTGAAAGAAGTGAAAATGGATGAAAAATGGTGTAAAAGTGGTGTAGGAACTGGGAGGGTTCGCACCTCCTTTTATACCCTGCGAGGGTTCGGACCGAAAGGGGAAGGGAGGGCACGCGTCGGACAGGTGGCGAGGCCGAGACACGCGCCAGCAGCGAAGGCGAGGACACGCGTCAGCTTCGGACTAGACCTCGCTTCGGACGAATCAGCAGGCGGACACGGGGCACGCTCGCATGCGAGGCGGCGTGGCTGATTCCGAGCCATGCATGCGAAATTTCTCGGATTTTGTGCCCAAACTTCAAAAATTCATAACTTTCGCATATGAGCTCTGTTTTCGATGTTCTTTATATGCACGCGTAGGCGAGATTATACTCTACAACTTTCGTTTAGACTCCGTTGGCTAATTTTGACTTTATTTTTAATATTATTATTTTTAACAGACCGGGACAGGAAAATCCGTTAAAAATTCATAACTTCTTCATCCGACGTCCATTTTCGTCTGTCTTTTTACCGTTGTACTACTATTGACGAGACCTTCGATTCTTGTTTAGGTTGTGTCGGCTAAAAATCACTCGATCTAAAATTCGAGTTTTTAGTTGTCTATTGTTAAGCTGAAACTTAGAAAAATCATAACTTCCTCATACGAAGTCAGATTTGGGCATTCTTTTTATGCATGCTC